TCCTCCTCCTCCTCCTCCTATTTCGTTGCGTTGCCCAGACCCTATGCGCCCGCATGTGGCGTTCTTTGTGTGAGGCTGAAAAACGGGAGGAGTAGACGACTCGGAGGGCGCCGCAGCTGAGGCGGTAAGAAGAGACATCGAAGCGCTTATGTAGAATGGTAAGCACCCGCCATGTAACACAAGGCCATATGTGAGCATGTGACCCAGGCCATATGTGAGCAAGCGACCCTCAATTCATTCAGGTAGATGCTGCAAACGGTGCAATAGTGGCTGTGCGAAAGAATAACGCCTGCTGGTTACGTGAGTTGCAGCCGCAGCGAAGGAAGCCCCGTCGAACCCCGACCTCAATGTATGACCCCGCCAACCCCCATTCCCATTTTCAGGGTACGGGCCAACTTGGCAGGCTGCAGATGCGAGAAACAGCTGGCCGTAGCAATCGTTGGGTTGCTGCCCCAGGTTCTGGCCGACCCCAATCCGCGGTGACGTAGCAGTTCCTGGGAGGCGGAGGAGGCGGAGGAGGAGGAGGAGGAGGAGGAGGAGGAGGAGGAGGAGGAGGAGGAGGAGGAGGAGGAGTCAAAACAGAGAGGTGCAATGTACGCCAGTGTAGGCTGGCACTGTACAGTGGTCCCTCTTGGCCAGCAGTAGGCCCGCGCTATCAGTCCGCCGTAGGCCCGCTCTTCGGCTCCCAGGTGGAGGGGCCACCGTCACAGTTTTTCTGTCAGCACTATGCGGGGTAGGCATGTGATACTGCGGTGAAAAGGTAGGCCAAGCATGCTGTAAAGACTGGCCTGTGCAGGCTGGCCTGCAGTTCTAGGCGCATGCAGTAGTGTGAGCCAGGCACAGCTTACTACGAATGTCAGTACTATAAAATACCTGTTCGGATACAGGCCTGGAGAGCGTCTGGGATATAACGCTGCCTGTAGGACAAACGAGCCCGAGCTGCGGAAATATAACATGCCCCCAGTCCTCCTCTTGATTCAGTGCTCCCCCCCAAACAGCAAAAAACGATGTGGAACCAGTATGGCCGAGCTGGGAAATAGGCGCGGTACATGCAGTTGTGCAAAGTGTGACTAATACTGAGTGTTGCTGCCAGGGACAGTAAGTGATAAGTGCTATGAGGCGTGCGCGTGGGCAGATTGCTCATGCGCGCGCCCGTGGGCAAACATACGTTCCGCCTGATAGCAGCGCGCCGAAGTCTGCGGCGTGGACAGGGCGTTAAACAATTTTAAAGGACGTAGCCTGAGCAGACACGGGCTGTGCGTGAATTGTGTGACGAAGTACCTGTCGTGAGCGTGCCCGCGCCGTGGGCGCGGGCGTCCTGGTTGACCCTACACCGTCGAATCTAACCAAGTAGTGCTGAGCAAAGAATTGGCTGTAACAGCATGCGGTGTAAGCTGGCATTGTGCAGTTCAAGAAGCCACAGCCTGTGCAGATACAGGCGTGGCACGTGCACTGCGTGGCGCGATGCCAGCAGCAAGCGCGCCCAAACTGTGGGCCATGGGTTTTTTGGTTGACCCCAAACCGTCGAAGCAGAGAGGGAAGTGAGAGGGCACGCCAAGAGAACGGGGGGGGGCGTAGGCAGCGACTGCAAGGGGAAAGAATAGATGGAGGGGAAGCGGCCGCGGTGTGCACCAGATTATTACGTTGAAAGAAGGGGGGTGGGGGCCAGTGGAGGATGTCCTGCTGCAGTTGAAGCGCAGCGGGTGCCTGCGGTGGAAGCCGCGGCATGCGGCTGTCGAAGTGTATTTATCCGGTTCCATTGCCAGTCTCGTCGTAGCCCGTCGGCTTGGGCTTGGGCGGCGCCGTGTGTAGTCGGGCCATCTGCTCGGGCGCCAGTTCTTCGAAATGTAACTCTATTGGAGGGGTGCCGTATAGGCTGTTGAGAAAGAGCTCATATCGCGTCTGGCTTGATCGGAGCCTGTCGACGTAGCTTTCGAACGTTGGGTCGCCCGTATTGCTCGCGAAGGTGACGCGGCGACTGCAGAGGAGCATGTGCTGCTCGCCTCGTCTCGCAGCTGCGTTATGCAGCTATGGCATGAGTAAGTGTGCAGCGTGGCGTAGGTCTGTGGCGCCACGGCAATGATCGGCACCTCTTGTATCCAGCGTTGTGTCATGATCTCCGGGGGGGGGGGGGGGCGGATGATTGACATCTGCGGGGCAGGGGTTGTGGTGGGCGTGCAGGCATAGCAAATCTTAAGGGGGTCCATTTGGATATCGCTTTTGTTTGCAATGGTTGCGGTGTGGCTGGCGTCGGAGTGTCGTTGGCGTTGTGATTGTCCTTTGTTTGTTGTGATTGCTTGCTGGTCGCATAGGGGGGTAGTGGTTGTGCTAAATTGGCTGGTGGCGTGTGCGTGGTCGGGGTCGGCGTGGTCGGCGTAGCTGTCTTGCGTGGATGGTGTGTGGGCGTGGGATGTGGGTTGGCGGTGTATTGTTGCACTGGTGTAGATGCGTTAGGTGTGAAATGTGTATTGGGGAGTGGCGGTGCCTTTGGCAGGCAGGGCATTGGTGAATGCTCTTGTGGCTGTTGCTTTATGAAAGCAGTGGCCTTCTCCAGAAGGGTTTTGGAGGATTTGCTGAAAAGTGTTGTCGACAGTATCAAAACAGTCTCTGGGCCGCAGCGCCCAGGAGTCTCAAGAAAGCGTCGCGGCGCGACTGTAGCGAAACCAGAACAGCGTGGGCAATCCGAAAGAATTTGGAGCTGTCAGGCCACAAGCAAAAACTGTAAACCCACCCACCCGCACATACGGGATAAAGGATGCGACGCACACCTGCCGCGCGCCGCCGAATCAGCGCGCGGCGAACCGACGAATAGACGCCGAGTGCAGAACATTACGAGACTAGACTAACCAGCAACGCGCGCATTCAAACCCACAATCGGGGCGAGTTTGGGCCAAATGGCGCTGAGCCAAAATGGCAACTGATAGGGGGATAAAAGGCTGGGGGGGGGAAGAGGAGGAGCGGCAAGGGGGGGGGGCAAGGGGAATTGCGAGGGGGAAGGGTGAGGGCGGGACGAAGGAAGGCGAGGAGGGCGATAACAGAAGGCGGACGGGCAAGAGGGGACGAGGGATGAGTATTAGAGAGGGAGATGAGGAACGGAAAGGGAAGGGTGAGGGCCAGACAAAAACGCAGGGTGGCGAACGGATTGTGCGCAGGAAGGCGGGTGGAAAAGGGGGGGCGGGAGGGAGGGGGGCAACCAGGTGCAGGGAGGAGGGGCGGGGAGGAGGGAGGAGGAGGGAGGGGGAGAGGGGGAAGGGCGGAGGGGGGGGGGGAAGGGGCAGGAGCAGGGGCAGGGAAGGGCAGGGGCAGGGGCAGAGGGAAGGGGGGAGGAAGGGCAGGGGAAGGGAGGAGGAAGGGAGGTGGTGCAGGGAAGAGGGGCAGCGGGGGAGGACTAAGCAAGAAAGGGGAGAGAGCCCTCCCAGCAGCGTGCCCCGCTCGCGGCGCCTGGCCGCTCCCACGGCCACCAACCACCGCCAGCACGCCGACGGACGGGGGCGGCGGCGCGGCAGGGGTGCCCCCTCCCCCCCCTCTCCCCCCCTCTCTCCCCTCTCTCCCCCTTCGCCCTGCCCCTTCAGCCGCACCTCCGAAACTGGCGGAGACGGGGGGGCGGATGGCGGCGAAGGCGGGGGGAGAGGGGGGGTAAGGATCGCACGCTCTCCTTTCGAGCCCTGGCGGTCCATGCGAACCCCTGCTGGAAGATTTGGTGGAGGATATGATCTGAGGGGCGATGGGGGTAACACTAATACGGAGGAGGGCGCGGAGCCGAACGCGAGGACCAGGAGGAGGAGGAGGAGGTGAGGAGGAGGAGGAGGCGGAGGAGGATGAGAAGGAGGAGGAGGAGGAGGGGGGAGGAGAAGGAGGAGGAGGAGGAGGAGGAGAGGAGGAGGAAGGAGGAGGAGGAGGAGGAGGAGGAGGAGGAGGAGGAGGTTGAAGGAAGGAGGAGGGGAGGAGGAGGGGAGGAGGAGGAGGAGGAGGAAGGAGAGGGAGGAGGAGGAGGAGCCGTCTCGCCTCACTCGCCCCTCTCCTCCTCCTCGCCACATCCTCGTTTAACTTTATTTTGTTGTTTGTTCTGGAGCGCAGCACGCCAGCGACTGTTGCCTTCTCAGACTGAGCTCAGTCCGACACCACATTCGAACGTCGGCGCCAGCATCTGCCTCCTGTGGGGCTCGCGTTTCGTAGCGAGCTGACCTAGCTAAAACGAGGAAGGCCTGTGCCCTGTGCGTCGAATCGCGTATCTCGTGTGACGTGTCATGTCGCATATCGTTGGGTCGATCGTCGATCGATTTCGAGCTGAGGCCTCCCTACATATTTATTGCACTTGAATTTTTAGCTGCGTCGCCTGGTTGACGCGCTGCAACAGCGCTGGCGGCAGCCTCTCTGGCAGGACCGATTGCTCTTTGAGCTGGCCCATCAACTTAACACAGATGGCGCGCAACGACTGCTTGCTCTCGGCCTTCTTAAAGGCCGCAAACAGAGAGCCTGTGACCACAGTGAGCCAACCAGCCTGTAGCTGGTCCACCGCGTCCTTGTACTCACCCTCCTCGGTGTTGAGGGGCACCCCGTACTTGGACGCCTCGTTCTTCCAGGGGGTCAAAGCCTGCGCGGCAGGCAGCGTCAGAAGCCGAGCGGACAGAGGGGTGGATGCAAGCAGCAAGGGAGAAGGATAAACTAAATGAACGTTTGGATATTGGACCCAGGCTGGGTTGAAGGACAGTGTAACACGCTGGGGAAAGTCCAGCTAGTAATCAAAACACGTCTTCCTCATCTTCCTCCTCCTCCTCCTCCTAGCCCTCCAGTCTCTTGTCGCCTCCTCCTCCTCCTCATCCTCCCCGCCTCCCCCTCCTCCTCCTCCTCCTCCTCCTCCTCCTCCTCCTATTTCTCCTCCTCCTCCTCCTCCTCCTCCTCTTCCTCCTCCTCCCTCCTCTGCCCATCCTCTTTAAGTGTGCAAATGCCTTGGCCAACGAGTCCAGGTCCTTCTTCATGCAACCGATGGCCTTCCCGACCGCGCTGCTCATGATGGCCCCGTCCGCGTGGTCGGAAAGCCTCTTCCACGCGCCCTGGTCCTTGTCCGAAACTCCATTCAGCCACGATTCGCCATCGGGAGCTCCTCGCAGGAAGGGCTGGATCTTGGCCACGGCCGCCTGGCAGTCAGCCAGCGCCGTCTCCACTGCAAAGGCGCCGACGGTCCTCAAGATCGTGACGGCCTTCTCCCTCAAGGTGGACACTTTGTCGACCACGTAGGCGTGCAAGTCCGCGTTGGAGTCGCTCGCCTCGTGGGTGAAGGCGAACAGCTTCTCGGACAGGAAGCGCATGAGGGTAAACTCAGGGTCCCCCAGGTCGATTTGCTCCCTCTGCAAGAACCCCTCCTCGTCGAAGATCTTGGCCGTGACCCCCTGCACCGCGGGCCCCAGCGACCGCGTAGCTCCCGCGGCTTCCAGGCACGCGTTTGCGGAGCGACGATCTCAACAGGGGGGAAGTCGTGCAGGCCGTGCGCCGCCTGGTTAGCGGCGGCAGCGATGCCCACCTCATCATCAGCAGCCGTCTTGACGATCTCCATGGAGCACGCGCCGAGAACCTCGATCAACTCATCACCCAGCTCGGCGGGGGTGACCCTCTCCAAGACCAGAGGCAAGTCCTTGCGAAGGAGCTCGCACGTCATCTTGTCGGCAAGGATCGCTTCGGACATCGCTCTCACCTGGGCCTTGATGGCGTCGCGGGCCATGGTCGCGTCGGCCTCCTCAAGGGTAGCCTTCATCTCCACGAGGTCGGCGTCGTGCGGCATGATGTCGACTGCCTTCCCCAGCAGCTGGCCGAATCCCGCGCGGTCGCCTTGCGAGAAGGTGCCGCGCTCCAAGGCTTCCGTGGCGTAGTTGGACATACTAGCGAGCACCGGCTTCGTCTGGTCAATGATCTGGCGTGCGATCTCCCAGTCCAGAGAGCACGATACATTCGGGATACACGCCAGCGTAATTGTGACCGCAGTTGAAGCGCCAGTGAAGTTCATGGGGTCAAGCACCACGGCATTCAGTGCCATCATGGCATCGCCGACCTCCTCACTCAACTCCTGCACCATCACCCTGTTGTCCGTGAGCATCGTCCAGATCTTATTGTAGTGCTCGCATGCGCCAACGGCGATCGCAATCCCTCCGAGGCCGCTGTAGAAATCTCCGCGGCTGGTGTCGAGGGAGGCAATGGTGGCAAAATAGTTGTCGACGTCGTCCGTCGTCCACACGCTGGTCGGGTCGCACACGTTGACGACTCCGCTCACCATAAGGCCAAGTGCTTCGAGGAAGTCGGTCACCTCTGCGGTGAGTGCTGTCTCCGTGGCAAGCAGATCATCCATTGCTTTTGACATGCGATTACCAAGAAGCTTCAAACCGTTAGAGTACGCCTTGCCTTTCTCGATGTAGGCATTGAACACAGACGTGAGGAACTTCTGGGTGAAAACTGTGATCTTCTCGGAAACCTCGATCTCCACGAGGTGCAGCTTGTGGGATGCACAGAGACATACTAATACTATGTGTCCGCCTTGGAGGCGCGCGTCCGACCCGAACATATAGTATATCCATCTTGTAGTATATCGTTTCCCGAGCGGTGTGGCCAGAAAGCGCCCGCCACGACGCATATACTATAAGATTTCTCGGTGCGCGCGTCGCCCCTGGGGGGGCGACGCACATATAGTATAAGTATGTTGGGGTGTTGCCGAGCTTGGGCTGCTTCGGGCCAAACTCTTTCCCCGCATCGCCTGATTGAGGCCACGGCCACATGAGGTCAAAGAACATGTTGGCGTCCGTGTCCGTGACATCCGAGGCCAGGCGATCATCGAAGGTTTTCTTGACCAAGTCCGACTTCACACTCGCTGGGATCGCCAGTGACTTGCTGAGCGACTTGTACGCGTCAAGGATCTCGGTCTCGTTGGCAGTGAAAATCTGGTCCGTGTGGAGCAGGTGGGCGTGGTCGTACTTCACCATGTGCAGGCTGAGCTTGTTCCACTGGTCCTTGTCCTTGGTCTTCAGCTTCTTGAGCTCCTCGCGGGCGTGGTACGCCTGCACTCCGAGCTTGCCCTGGGTCATCACCTTGAGCAGCGGGAGCTTTGCAACCCAAAACTCCCCCTTGCCAAGCTTAGCGTCTGCACCTCCACCGCACTGGCTAGCCGAGTCGGCAGCCGCGACGGCGGCAGTCGCAGGAGGGGCCATCACGCCGAGGCCGCTGCCGGCCACGCTCCCAGGAGTCCTGGATGTCGATGGGCCTGCCAGTGGGAGCGTCGTGCCTGACAGCGAGCTGCCCACGTGCAGCCTGCGCTGCGGGCGCTGAGTGCAGACGTCGCGAATCGTCGTCGGGGGCGCGCTGGACTCCAGGTCGCCATCGTACGGCCCAGAAGGCCCGCCGCCAGCCTCCATCGGCGAATCCCCCAGGTCCATTGCTGAAGTCGGCGCGCAGCCCGGACTCGATAAGCTCGAGGTCCTGTTGGATTCGTAAGCCTGCTGCTGTCGAAGAATCTCAGGAGGCACTGCGAAGCCATACTCCTCGTGAGGCTTCAGCGAGGACATCAGCTTCAAAGCCCCCGTATGCTGCTGCTCGCCCATGCTCCACTCGAACACGCGCGCGGCCTGACTCGAGAACAGATGCGTGCCCTCGGTCATGTACATGGCGCGCCTCTCCGTGCTCGCGATCATGGAGATAGAATAAGACCTCAAAAAAACCCAAGTCGGGCTCCACTGGAAAAGGAACGTATCCTCAGGCTCCAGGTCCGACTCAGACCAAAGCTCAATCATGACGAGGCCCTTCTCCTTGATCGACTTCTTCGTCGGGACGTAGTTGAAGTACTGCTTGAGCTCATCTCTGTTCATGATCAGCGCCTTGCGCGTGACCTTGTGCTGGTGGACGCTGATGTGGCCGACGCTCTCCTTCTGGTAGTCATCTTTGCCGCCGCCGTTCTTCTTGCGCTGCCTGCCCTCGTGGAAGTCCTTCTTGAACTCTGGGTCGTTCGCAATGTTGGTCATCAAGTCGGGAATCGGGAGCCACGTCATCGCCTCCGTGTAGAAGGTGTCGCAGCAGGCGCAGAGGGAGTACAGCTCGTCCGCGTAGCGGTGCTTGACCATGCCCTTGGCCCCCCCCTAGGCGGGGCGAAAACCCCCCTCCCTACTCTTCCGTGGGGAAGAGGGAAGAGGGAGGAGGGAGGCGGGAGGAGGAGGAGGAGGAGGAGGAGGAGGAGGAGGGGGGGGAGGAGGAGGAGGAGGAGGAGGAGGAGGAGGAGGAGGAGGAGGAGTTCGTCTTGCCCCCAATCGAAACTTGTTTTGCAACCCAAGGCCCAAGACGCCAATCTGGAATACTGGTTTAGGCTTCCGCTATGAAAACAACGGGAAAGCATGGTTTACGATCGAGGCGGTGGCAACGGGACTGAACACCTCCGCCTTGTACGAGGGGCCCGATGGCCCCAGGGCGAAATGATTTGGTGCACGGGCAAGGGGGGTTGGAGGGATGGGGGTCGGGGGCGAAGGTCCCCCCCTCCTCCCCTCCCTCCTCCCTCCTCCCCTCCTCCTCCTCTCCTCATCCTCCTCCTCCTCCTCCTCTCCCTCCTCCTCCTCGTCCTCCTCCTCCCCCTCATCCCTCATCCCTTCTCCCTCCTCCATCATCAATCCTCCCTGCTCCTCCTCCTCCTCCTTATCCTCCTCCTCCTCCTTCTCCTTCTCCTCCTTCTCCGCCTCCTCCGCCTACTCCTCCTCCTCCTCTTCCTCCTCCTCCTCACATTCGGCAGGCCAATTGAAAACCCAGTGTTTGGTCCCCGATGCCTCGCCGCAGACGCAGCAGCAGCCAGCCTTGTTGCCCGACCTCCTCTTGGGAGCAGGAGGCTGCGCGTCGGCGAGCTGGCTGGCACGCTTGGACATAGCAACCAGCGAACCACGGGCTGGTGGTGGCACGCCTGGCTGGCGCGGTCGGGCTGACCGTTCCCGAAGCTGTGGACGGTGAGTCGCAAGCCCTGAAAAGCTCTTGAGCCACGAATGCGACGGTTCAAACTTGCCCCAGGCTGGCCACCCCGAAATGGCACCCGAGGATACCCGAAGGCCGAGCCAACCCAACGGGGCTCTCAGGAAGCGCCCAGAAACTTTGCCATCCTGGAAAACTCGGGAGCCCTCCTGTAAACCTCTTGGGGGCATCCTGGGACACCCCCCACCCGACGCTTCAGCCCCATGGATAAGGGGGCACCGAGGAGCCTTCAGAACAAAACGAAGAAACCGAACACAACTGGAAGGAGGGTGCCGCGGCATCTTGCCTCGCGGCTCTCCTGGGTTTCCTCCCGGGGCACAGTCAAGGCGGCGGAGGGGGAGGGGGGGGGCTCAATTGGTTTGAGATGCATCCCGATACTCTCCTTTGAGACTCTTTGGACGGCGAGACTCCTCCCGAGACTCTCCTTGGTGACTCTTTGGGCGGGGAGACTATGTTGGGGACTCCTTCGGGGCAGCGCATTTTCATTGATTTGGCCAGATATTATTTTGAGACTGTTTTGATACTGATTTGAGATTGTTTTGAGACTATTTTGTAATGTTTTCTTGCGGTGCGTATGGCGGGGACGTGGGAGACTGGTTTGAGACTGTTTTGGGATTGTTTTGAGACTGTTTTGATATTGTTTTGGGTGGGGAGACTGTTTTGAGACTGTTTGGAGACTGTTTTGAGACTGTTTTGAGACTGTTGTGGGGGGTCGGCCCCCCCCCCACCAGATATCCCGAAACTGTTTCAAAACAGTTTCAAGACAGTCTCAAAACAGTCTCAAAACAGACTCCCGCACCCCCCCCCCTCCCCAAACAGTCTCAAAACAATATCGAAACAGTCTCAACCCAGTCCCGAAACAGTCTCTCGAGAGAGTCCCCAGTCGATTCAGCGACCCGCTCGCCCATCTCACAGAGTCTCTAAACAGTCTCAAAACAGTCTCAAAACAGTATAACCCGAAAACAGCAAAATCCGATGGTAGCAAAAAAGTCTCTAGGGGTAGACTTTTCTGGGG